GTTTTATATTGTGATGTAAAAACGATATGACAATAATAGGCAGAAACCCCCTCTGAGCTGGCAGAACCAGGCCCCCCCCCGGCCCTGGCGGCTGAAGGAGAGCAAAGAGACAAACTAGAGCCAGAGTTAATCACGAATGATTCAATCCTGCATTACAAAAACGTCTTATTCTTCTGCCACTGCAAATGAACACATGCAGTCTCATTTAAATGGTGGTCCTGACATACTTTTTATTTTTTCTTCGTTTAAATATTCAGTGGAATTCAACAACACTGGCACATCTGTAAATATTTCCCAAAATGTCATTAACTAGTTTCAGCTACTTTTCTGATTTTAGCTTTTGTCAAAATAATAGAAAGGTGAAACAGTATCATGGTGATTTTGTTGTCAGTCCTCGCTGCAGTCACGTGCCATTTGTAACGTTCTGATTTTGCACTGTTTCAGCAGATCAGAGCCTCTCTGAGATGTTTCCTTCTTTGCTGCAGACACTTTGTGTGTTGGAGCTGTTCTGATAATATTATCTGATAATGTTGTTCATTCATGTATGATTGATTTGTGTTTTTCGACACAGCAGATGTAAATATTTTGCAGCATTTCCCTGAATCTGTACAGAGTACACACAATAAAATCCATCCTAATGCTGTCAGCACTCATCATTGAACACTAACATGGTGCCATGAAGCTGTCTCCATCATGTGGTCAGTGTTGTGTTAAAGTCTAATCTGGCCTCTTTTCCTTGAGTACAACGAGTGGTTTCCATGTTGTTGGAAACAGGATTGTGCGTCTAGAATCAAGGTGTTTCTAACTGTAGTTTCTGACTTGGCTAAATGTTGTGAAGGACTTTTCTCCACAGTCGTTCACTTTGAGTTCTTCTGTGCTTTGCACGGTAATAGTCACGCGCCACCATCATCACCGTGCAGTGTGAGAATCTGTGCTTTGCTCAGATGAGACATGCTGTAGTGTTTAGAGTAATGGGATCGTTGTAAATATTCTCTCCTCATTAAAATTCATCGACCACAGCTGTTTGTGCAGGCTTGGATACATCAGTGCAGTGGAATACGATTTATGTGCAGTTTAACATTTTGACTTTGTTTGTTTGGCTTCTTCCAGTAACAATTCAATGATACATTAAAGCGTGACAGAGTCGGGATGTTATCAGGAAAATCAGCCTGAAGTATGAAGCTTGATAATGCAGATCCATAACAATGGTCTGGTTATGGGAGGAGCCTCATAAAATACACTGCTGAGCAACGAGGAACAGGTGACTGCACACGTCAGGTAACTACAGTCACATGGCTGACAGACAGGCAGAGCACGTTTACTGAGCAGGGTCAGAATATCTCAGCCTCTACTGCTTTGGTTACTCGTATGTTTCTCCCATAATTTCATTATAAATGTCAATCATTGTTTATATTCATTGTGTTTCCAAATGAACTGTTTGCCACTCACTGGTTTACCACATTAATCGTTGATCCCATGAGGCGTATTCTCAGACTTATTGGATACTGCTGTGATATGTAACGCTGTAAACAGTTGGTCTGTGTAGTTCAAACGATCATTTTCCAATACTGAGTTCATCCAAACATGTGTTAGTGTCTGCTCTAAATGCAACTACAATTTAAATCCTTTACGTTCAATAATAGTCCGTTTTTGGGAAATTGATTTGCAGAATATCAACACATCAAACAACACAAAGGTGTCAGGTAGCATCCAGTAAGTCTGTCTGTCTGAGGCGCTTTTATTTTGGTGGATTGTGTTGGTGCTACCAGTAGGTGGAGCTGTATCCACATAGTTTGTAGTCTCTCCTGCTTCTACAGCTGAACGCCAATAAAGAAATACAGCATGATGAATCTCTTTGTCCTTCATTAATGTTATTGATTAACTTTGAAAGGAAGTAACTAACTAACACATTCATGTCCACACCTGTAAACAACATTTTTCCTCTGACTGTGAATAACACACGAGAGTCTCAGTAACAGGAAGCTGTCCTGGGTCAGTTTAAGCACATCTACAAGGTTTTTTGTTGGGCCTGGACTCTGTTAGAAACAGGAATGTGTGTGTGTGAGGTGTTGAATGAACAGACACTGTTCAGCTGCAACAGCACGTGTGATATTAAAGGAGAGGTAGAAGCATCTGTAGGTCAAACTGAACAATGTTGATTTTATTAAAATGTGCTAACCTCAGCCTTAATGCTCGTTTGGGCTTATTTCCCAACTGATTTCATCTTCAGTCAATTATTACAATTATTTGTAAGAGAAACTTTCAATGAAAATAACTGTTGGTTTCACCAACATGATGTCAACGTTGTTAAAAGTTTCAAAATATGATTGGGGACATAAAACACAGGGACATAAAGGTGCTGGGAATGTTTGTAATTACATTCTGCAAACAGCAGCAAACCTGCTGTTGGAGCCTCTGTGCTCAGTGAGCTCAACTAAAATACTGTCAAACAAACAAAGAAGATACCAAACAGTAAAAGTCCAAGTTCAGGCTGTTTCCTGGTTCTTTCTTTTTTAAGTCTTTAAAAAGGTTAATTGAGGTTAGTGTTCAGAATAACAGCCTGACCTATAAGGAACAGTGTTCTCTGTACTGTTCGCCCTCGCCAGTGTCTTAGAGGAACTCTGTAGGCGTCCATGCAAACAACAGAAAAATGTGAATTGACTAATGCCTCATTGAATAAAAAGAGAGAAGCGAGAGAGATTCAGGAAAAGAGCAGAGAAAGATGGGAGGACTCGGGGAAGAAAGGGGAACTATACCAAGATGTGTGTGAGAGGGAACGGGGTCATATGGATAGAAAGATGAAGGGGTACAGATGAATAAAATGCCACACAGAGCTCTGTAACACAGTGGGGTCATTGTTGCGCGGTTGTAGTGGCCTCTCAACACAGGAGCACCAATGAAAGAAGAGAAGACGGGTGAGGAGAGCGCAGAGAGACGTAGCAGCCCCGCGCTGGGAGCTGTGATGGTACCGCAGAGAAGAGCCAGAGCGTCTCAGTGAGGCTCAGCGTTCAGAAATTATGAGTCTCAATTCCTTCTGATTCACTTTGATCATTTTATCTTAATTTATTTAGACATTACATTTTCTATACGTATAGACGAGCTGCAGGCTGCAGACCCGGACATCTGACCTATCCACTCTGGAACAAACACAGCTCTTTGAAGGCAACTACAAAGCTCATCCTTCTGACCTCATTTCCAGTCAAGCATCTCAGCTCAGTAAATGCTCAAAATTCGTATAATTACCCTGCCAGGTAATTATACGAGCTATTACATTAATTTCTTGATCTTTATGTAATTCAGCTGGCTTTCTTCAGGGTAATATTAATATTTCATCATCTATATGATCTGTCTGTAGTTCAGTCGTTTGGACAATCGTCTCACAGTCTAACTAGTAATGCTAGTGCTAGTAATGCTGTTGGTTTATTAACTTAAACAACTGCTAATTTGCTAGAATACTAATTCTACAGCGTCATCAAGCTAGTTATAGAATACAAAGGATTACACAAATTAATGTTGTGTTCAGTGGAACAATGAGTACAAACACAGGACACTTAGGGAGGATTTTTATGGTTTATTATTGTTGTCTTTGTTGGTTTTCTTTTGAAAAACAAAACAAAAAGAAAACGTTCAACCCTGAAACTCTGAAATCTAGTAAAGTAAATAGAAACATGAAGTATAATATATAATTGTACATTACTGGCAGTATGTCCTTTTGAAATATGCATTTAATAAAATGAAAGAGAGAGTGTGATTTCTTCTATCCTATGTGCCGTGGACGAGTCTCTGCTGTTGCCCTGTGACCGCCTCGGCCTGACGAGTAAACTCAACGCTCGCTGCTGCTGCTCAGGTTTCTCGCTGCATTCTCACTCGGGGGAAGCTTCACGCCCCCTGCGAGTGTCTTCCTGCGACAGGTACTTCTGCTTTTCCCGACCAGCGTGCAGCTGTCGGGGATGTGTGTGTCCATACCGTCGTTCCCGTTGACTTCCATATAATATAAAGGAATGTGAGCGTAGGAGTTGTCCTATTCTGCACACCAGGATGGTCCCACCGACACACACTTTCTGCTTCTGCATCACACTTTCCTTATCATGCACGTTTCTTTTTGCTTCACATTCTCTCTCATACAGCTTTTGTTCTCCTTGTTCTCCTCTTCTTTTATGGTTTCTGCCTCGTTGGCTGTTTTGCTGACAGGCTCCAGCTGGATGTCATGGCTCGGAGAGAGGCGGGACCCTGAGTGTGTAGGCTGGTCTTTAGAGGCCTTCTGTATGGGGAAAGCCCACACACTTCACC